CCATGCCCTCTTTTTTGTTTTTAGTTATTAATAATCCTGAGTCTAATTAGCCCTCCACGTATGCACATGAGTGCATGGTTATCCAATGGGACATGGGCAACCTACCAGCGGCCGTGTCTTACTGCTGTTTTGCTAAATGGTCATGCTGTCACACCGCCTTTGAAATATTTGTGTCTGTGCCCGTAGATTGTGCTGCCTTCAACGTTGGCCAGAGAAGCTTCTCGTTGCAGTGGGTGGTGTCCATGCAACAACTCATAACTGTCAGTAACTCTGAGCACTCAGCTGTGGCTTGCTTTCTTGATATCACCCAGCCTAGGGCTCCATCTCTGCAAAGTGCAGTTGAACTATGACAGATTCCTCACACAACTGGTAGGTGGCAGATTTTGTGTGCCACCAGGCCCAGCTCAGTCTCTTATTTTAATCAACTGTGTTTTATATTTCATGGAAAACTCAGTTCAGAGCCTGTGGGATGGGGGCAGGAGTAAAAAAATCACTTGCTGTCACTGAATATGTGCCTGTCTCCTAAGGACTCCAGAATTCCAGGAATAGATTGTTGTTGGGAGAGGCTGAGCCGGACAGAGGATGTCTGCTTTGTTATTTTCAGTACTCTGTTGCTGTGTTTCCTTGCCTAACAATCTTTTGTATTGTTATCGTTATTGATTACTTTTATTTGACAATTTCATATGTGTATATATGCTGATTGCTCTCTCCTCCTGACCTTCTCTATTTACTCCCCTCCATCCCTCCCAGTCCCTTTCCCAGGTTTATAACTTTTGATTTTGTTTTGTGACCCATTTGGCTTAACCAGGTCTATCTGTGCAACCACTAGATTGGAATTATCCTTTGGAACCTGGTGGGGTCTTTGGAGGGCACACTACTGAAAGTAATGATTCTGTCAGTAGCATACAGTTTATTAGTGAGAGGTAGGGCTCCCCGAGTCCCTCCTCTATCCCTGCCTGACTGTCGGCCAGCTCATTCTTTTGCAGACCCAGTGTAAGCATCTGTAGCTGCTGTGAGATCATGAAGGGAAGGGATAAGTGTCATAGCGGGTCTCCCTAACTTCTGGCTCTTACGATCTGTCTGCCCACTCTTCTGCAATGTCTCAGGACAGAGCGCTCATCCATCACTAGTTCTTAGCACTTTGTCTCTGCAGCCCAGTCTCTGCATTTACCACCGTTGGCTGGAATGAGAGACTTATTTGTCTATGAGTATAAACATAAATATTTAGAAGGCAATCTGACAGTGTGTCAATTTAGCCAAACAACAGTATTTATTCATTTCGTCACAGGGCTTATGGTCTCCCTTGCCATGAGCTTCTGAGGAGATCAACAGTACCAGGCATGGATTCCCTCCTGTGGAGTGGATCTAAAACTCAAGCAGAGAATAGATGGTTACCTCCACACAGTCGAGCCGCTGTTGCACTGATGGGGACAGCTTGCCTGGCAGGGTGAGCTCATGGCTCATAGAATTCACAGCTGGGAAAGACTGTCAAGGCTTTTTCTCCTCCAGCACCCTGCAAAGCACCCTCGAGGACTATGAAAACTAGCCAGCAGGAAAGAAGCATCCAGATCAGTTCCCGCTTCCTTTCTCTGTATGATGCATCCTAGGTGTCTTCAGCTATAGGGTCTTCGTGTCTAGTCCTGATGGGCAATCAAAAGGAATCTTGCCATAAGGAAGCATACCTCAAAAATTATTATATTCTCTCAAAGTCATCTGCAGTTTTAAGAACAGAAAATATAGGCATAAACATTGTTACAATTCAATGACTTTAAAAGAATCAAGATACTCTTCATAAAGGATTGGTGCATGATGCGGAACCGGAGGGATGGTTCACATTTTATTAGCACTGTGCTGGAAGGAGGGTGGGCATTCTGAATTAGAAAGGCAGTGTTTTCAACATTAAATTATAAATTAATTTGAGCCAATCAGACTTTAGACTCCTTTTCTCAAAGAATGAGAGCTTCAGATCACAGAGCATGCTTACACATACCCATGAGAGGCTATTAAAATGCCCAGGGTGTGTGAATTTAACACTAACATCAGAATAATACATGTAAACTAGGAGGAATTCTGCTACAATAGCAATAACAGGGGCTGGGGAGAGTCATTAAGAGATCTAGCTGTGCTTCCAGAGGACCCAGTTTGGTTCCCAGTGTCCATGCCAGATGGTTCACAGTCACCTGGAACTCCAGCCCCAGGGCATCTGATGCTCTGTCATGGCCTCCCTGGCTGCATGAAAAAATGCAAAACAATTAGTTCTTTAGACTAACATCAGAATAATACATGTAAACTAGGAGGAATTCTGCTACAATAGCAATAACAGGGGCTGGGGAGAGTCATTAAGAGATCTAGCTGTGCTTCCAGAGGACCCAGTTTGGTTCCCAGTGCCCATGCCAGATGGTTCACAGTCACCTGGAACTCCAGCCCCAGGGCATCTGATGCTCTGTCATGGCCTCCCTGGCTGCTACACTGATACACACAAACCCACCCCACACCCCACATAAATGGAAAATGATAAAAATAAATCTTTAAAAAAATTAGTGGGGCTGGAGAGTTGGCTCAGTAGTTCAGAGAACTTACTGGTCTTCCAGGGAACCCAGTTCAGTTCCCAGCACTTACATGGTGGCTCACAACCACCTGTACACATGTGGCACACATATATACACTCAGGCACATGCACATATGCAAACTAGCTAAATATTAAAAGCAGCAATAAAAGCATAAAACAGAGATGAACTGAGAAAAAGACGTATAATGCCCCACAGTAAAAGCCATGTAACACTGATGAGAGAAGCTATGGAAATCCCAAATATTTGAAGGAATACAGTATGTTTAGGTTTGGGTAGAACTGATCATAGAAATACCACTTATCCCTGATGCAATCTCGATCAATAGTCCCACTAGGTTTCTTTATAGAACCAGACAATTCTAAAATTTATATAAAAGTACAAAGGCTCTAAAACAGCCATGCCTGCTTTATAGAAGAGCAAAAAGAATATTTGAAACATGGTTTTAAGTCATACATCAAAACTGCAGAAAAATCAGAGTTAAACTGTACTGTAGATGAGACAGATTTAAATTTATAAACATTCTGTCCAACAGCTGCTGAACACACATTCTTTTCACCAGCATCTGGAACGTTCCCTAGGACAGACCATATACTAAGCCACAAAACAGAAATTAAAAAATTCAAAAAGTTTGGAATCGTGTCCTCTTTTTCATCCAGGAGTCCTGTATTTATACCATTTCCACCTGTCCCTCTCCCCTCTCCAACTCTGCCCACACCCCCCACTCCCTTTCAATGTCATGGCCCCTTCTTCTGCAATGATTATTATTACATATATTGGGGGGGGCTTGGGAGGTGGACATTAGGCTGAACCCATCTCATGCCGTGGACAGGATGTCATGGGTGTGGGTTTGGGCAGCAGCAGACATCAGTGATATCCTTAGGGGACAGTCACTTCCTGGGGCCTCTGTAGGAACTAACTGTGATGTTAGTGCCATTTCCCACAGGCTCCTGGCCCCTTTGAGTTAAAAGTCTTCCCCGATGCGTGCTCTGACCGTTTTATGGAATACTCTTTGTGATACATTTGTTTCTAGTAAGAGTGTCTGTGGGGGATTTCTGTTTACTGAGTGAATTCTGACTGGCATAGTGGCTCATCACACTTTAATGTCACCAAGAAGACATCACTCAGGGGCCTTCCGAAATCCCCTTGAACACATAGGAAGCTAGAGTTTGGGAGAACAGGAAACCAAGAATGGCATCCACATAGAAATTTCTCTCCTATCACACACAGAAGGGGAACTGAAAACTTTTCTAAAATCTAATTTAATAATCTCATGAGCAGAACCAATCAGTGGATGAGGACTAAACAGAATTACAAGTTGCTGGGCAGCGTTTTGTTTTGACAGAGTTGCTGTGAGAGGTGAAATGGCTTTGAATCTACCACAAAGAGCACTGGTATTACACTGATTTTGAGAACATCAGGAGATAAACACCGGGTCACAATGCTCCTGAAGCTGGAGAACAGTGCAAAGTAATGCCTGGAAACAGGCAGTGGACACTAGAAACTGTGAACTACACAGGGATGCTCCTTCCCATTTCTGTCAGAGCCTGGAGAGATTCTCCAGGGAGAATCTGCCTCATTTGGGCGCTGCATTGCAGAAGCCAGGAAAATATAGACACAAAAATTACATTACTTAGTTTTGCTTCTGAAAGAGGAGAAAAACCTAAATCATAGCACCAGACTTCCAACCCAGGCTGATCCTGTGGGACTCTCCTCGGCCCATTCCCCTGCCTCTGGGAATACGCACCCGAACATACTTAGAGCACAACTTTACTGCACGGTGATTCTTAGTGATCTAAGGGTTAACATCAGAAGATGTCAAAAGCCCTGGGGTGTGATCAGACCATCAGCAGTGTGCAGGATGTCCACTTTCCTGACCTGTGAGGGTCTCTGTGTGGTGGGATGGGACCTTAGCACAACAGCATGGAAACTCAAGTAAGGAGATGTGTCCTGGCTGACGTACATCAGATGGTGCCTCTCCACTGGCAGTTTGGGGATCACGGTCCTTTCTTCGTGTGACTAAACATTTCCCTTTCTACTGCACAATGTTTTCAGAAACAGGAGATGTGAAACCTCTTGACTTTCATTTTTCTCTATGGAGAACTTCAAGATTTTTTTTCTCAGAACTTAAAAAGACAGGAGAAGAGCTGTTATAACCTATTGATGTTAAGGAAGGTGTGGAAAAGGCCTCAACCAGCTAAGTAATCTTGGCCCAAGTTATGCTATGACAGTGAACGAAGAAACGAGGAAGATCCTCACTGGAGACTCCAGGTAGTGATGGAAACAGAAAGAGGCATCCCTGTTCGGCTGACTGTTTCTAGTGATCAATACCCATTTCCCAGGTATAACTCTCCATTTCCCCCTGCTTTGGAAGCATTGAAACTCAGAGTTTATCTCTTGATGTTCTCAAAACGCAGCAGAATGCCATTAATCTTGGAATCTTGGGCTGAGCTGACCATGTTGGGTCCAGCACACTGGGGGAGAAGAGGAAGCAATGGGAGGCTTTGAGGGATGCTCTGTTACCCAGAACAGAGCCCAGGCATTCTCTGTGTCCTGACCAGTTTCTCTTTGGATGGTTCGGTGTCCCTTAAACCACCCCACCCCCACTGGCACCCAGATGCACATTTGTGTTTACACTGTAAGGTGTGTCAATTGATTCTATTTTCACTAATGTGCTTCAAGTGCATCCTTTCTAGAATTTGAGTTGGGATAGAATAAGTTAGTGCTTGATCAACATTTTTAAAAACTTGAAATTTTTATTCAGTTTGTTTATGGACTTTACTCT